GGCGAACCACTGAGGAAGAGAAGAGAAAGAGAACAACAAAACAATATAGGGAGAGCGGGGGGGCCTTGTCGAGACTTCGCGGGGCCCTGCGAAGCCCTGCTAAGCCCTGCGTCGTCGTCGTCGTTGTCGTCGCGGGGTTTCTCTGCTGAGCCCTGCTAGGCCCTGCTACCTGGATCTCTCGTAAGCGCCATGAGGTCCGTCGCGGGCTGCCCTTGGGGTCCTTGGGCGCGTTTTCGACCCGGCTAACCTGCCGGTGTTTTCGATCTGGAAACCGGCGGCATACCGTCAACCTTGAATTGCGCGGAGGACTCGTAGAGCTTCCTTGCCATATATATATATATATATACATACATACATATAAATATATGAATGGCACGCGAGCGCGGCAATCTCGCAGTCAGCGCGCGCGAGGGCGTGCGGATTCGAAAAGGCGTGCTCCCCCGGGGAAGTCATTCGAGTTCGAGCCCGAACTCGAAATCCGAACACTTGCTTCCCGAAGATAGAGTTTCAGTTCGAGCGCGAACTCAAACTTCGAACTCGCCCTGGCCGGAAAAATGCAATGTCTCCCGAACTCGAACTTTGAACTCCCATTAGGGCAAAAATGATGAAGGTCGTTGTTCCAGACCCCCCCCCCCGGGCCGGCGAGCTGGCGCGGAGTTCGAGTTCCCGCCCGAACTCGAACTCCAAACTCTCACTTGAGGACCACTCCTGCTCAGGCCGTCTGAGCCCCTACGAGGCTCTGTTTAGCTCTGCTCGGCTCTGCAAGGCCTTGGCCCTGGTAGCCCCTGCTCAGCCCTGCCCAGCTCTGCTACGCCCTGCTGAGCCCAGCTAAGCCCTGCTGGGTCCTGCGAAGCCCTGCTAAGCGCTGCTCGAATTGGCTAAGCCCTGCTCGGCCCTGCTAATCCTTGTTAAGCCCTGCTATGCCCTGCTAATCCCTGCCACGCACTGCTAAGCCCTGCTCAGCCCTGCCAAGCCGTGTTAGGCCCTGCTCAGCCGTGCTTGGTCCTGCTATTCCCTGCTCAGCCATGCGAAACCCTGCTAAGCCATGCTGAATCCTGCTGAATCCCTGCGAAGCCCTGGTAGGCCCTGCTGATTGAAAAGCCCGACCCAGCCCTGCTAATACCCGATAAACCCTGCTGGGCCCTGCCAAGCCCTGCTGGGCCATGGCAAGCCCTGCCAAGCCCTGCTAAGCATTGCCAAACCCTGCCAAGCGTTGTTCATCCCTGCTAAGCCCTGCTGCGCCCTGGTAACCCCCGCAAGGCCTTGCCAAGCCATGCCAAGCCCTGCTAAGTCCTGCTAGGCATTGCTAAGCCTTGCTAGGCCCTGCCAAGCCCTGCTAAGCTCGCTGAACCCGGCTATGCCTTGCTGAGCCGTGCTCAGCCGTGCTAAGCCCTGATGGCCCCATGCAACCCCCTGCTAAGCCCTGCTAACCACTGCTACGCCCTGCTATGCCATGCACAACCTTGCTAAGCAATGCAAAGCCTTGTTGGGCCCTGCGAAGCAGAACTTCGCAAGGCTGAGCAAGACTTAGCGGGTTTAGCCGGGCCTAGCAGGGCTTGGCAGGGCTTAGCACAGTTTAACAAGACCTAGCAGGTCATAGCAAGGCCTAGCCAGGCTCAGCAAGGCTTAGCAGGGCCCAGCAGGTCAGATCCGGGCTTAGCAGGGCTCAGCAAGGCTTCGTAGGTACAGTGAGGCTTAGCATGGGGCTGGCAGGGTTAGCAGCGCCCAGCAGGGCTTGGCAAGGCCTTGCAGGGATTCGCATGGCTTAGCAAGCTTTAGCAGTAATAAGAAAGGCTAAGCAAGGCGTAGCAGGGCTTAGCAGGGTTGTGCAAGGCTTAGCTCGGCTTAGCATGGATTCGCAGGGCCTTGCAGGGCTCAGCAGGGCCGAGCAGGGCTTAGCAGGGTTTAGCAAGGCCTAGCAGTGCTCAGCAGGGCTTAGCAGGGCATAGCAGGGCTCCGCAAGGCTTGCAGCTCCTAAGCCCTGCTCAGCCCTGCTAAACCCAGTTGGACCTTGTCACGCCCTGCTTAGCCCAGCTAAGCCCTGCTGGGTCCTGCGAAGCCCTGCTAGGCCCTGCTCGGATTGGCTACCTGCTCAGCCCAGCTAATCCTGGTTGAGCCCTGATATGCCCTGCTAATCCCTGCCGCGCACTGCGAAGCCCTGCTCAGCCCTGCCAAGCCCTGTTAGGCCCTGCTCAGCCGTGCTTGGTCATGCTATTCCCTGCCCAGCCATGCGAAACCCTGCTAAGCCATGCTGAATCCTGCTGAATCCCTGCGAAGCTCTGGTAGGCCCTGCTGATTGAAAAGCCCGACCCAGCCCTGCTAATACTTGATAAACCCTGCTGGGCCCTGCCAACCCCTGCTGAACCTTGGAGAGCCCTGCCAAGCCCTGCTAAGCTGAGCCAAACCCTGCCAAGCCCTGATAAGCCCTGCTACGCCGTGGTAACCTCCGCAAGGCCTTGCCAAGCCATGCCAAGCCCTGCCAGGCCCTGCCAAGCCCCGCTAAGCTCGCTGAACCCGGCCATGCCTTGCTGAGCCGTGCTAAGCCCTGCTAAGCCCTGATAACTCCTGCAACCCCCTGCTAGGCCGTGCTAACCACTGCTAAGCCCTGCAATGCCATGCAAAACCTTGTTAAGCAATGCAACGCCTTGTTAAGCCCTGCGAAGCAGAACTTCGCAAGGCTTAGCGAGTCTTAGCGGGCTTAGCAGGGCCTAGCAGGGCTTGGCAGGGCTTAGCACAGTTTAACAAGACCTGGCAGGTCATAGCAAGGCCTGGCCAGGCCAAGCAAGGCTTAGCACGTCAGATCAGGGCTTAGCAGGGCTTAGCAAGGCTTCGCAGGTACAGTGAGGCTTAGCAGGGGCTGGCAGGGTTAGCAGCGCCCAGCAGGGCTTGGCAAGGCCTTGCAGGGATTCGCATGGCTTAGCAAGCTTTAGCTTTTTTTTATAAAAAAAAGCAAATCAGGGCGTAGCAAGACTTAGCAGGGTTGTGCAGGGCTTAGCCCGGCTTAGCATGGATTCGCAGGGCCTTGCAGGGCTCAGCAGGGCCGAGCAGGGCTTAGCAGGGTTTAGCAAGGCCTAGCAGGGCCTAGCAGTGCTTAGCAAGGCTTAGCAGGGCATAGCAGAGCTCCGCAAGGCTTGCAGTTGCTAAGCCCTGCCCAGCCCTGCTAAACCCAGTGGGGTCCTGTCACGCCCTGATAAGCGCTGCTAAGCCTCCGTAAGCATTACAAACGCCTTGCTAAGGCTTGCTAAACTCTGCTGGGCCCCGCTTGACCCTGCTGGGCCTTGCTGGGCCCTACTAAGCCTTGCTAGCACCTGGTGAAGCCCTACCAAGCCCTGCTACGCCTTGCCAAGCCCTGCTAGTTTCTGCATAGCCTTGCTAAATTTCGCTAGTTCTTGCTGAACCTTGTTAGGCCCTGCAAAGCCCTGCGAAGCCTTTTGTAAGGCCTGCCAAACCTTGGTATGCCTGCTAAGCCTTGCTAACCCCTGCTAAGCCCTGCTCAGCCCTGTAAAGCCCTGCTAAGCCTTGTAAGCGCTGGTCAGCCCTGGCCAGCCCTGCTAAGCCCAGCGGAGCCCTGCTAAGCCGTGCTAAGCCCTGCTCAGCCTTGCTATGCCCTGCTGAGCCCTGCTGAGCCCTGCTAGGGTCTGTTAAGCCGTGCTAAGACCTGAGAAACCTTGCTAGGTCTTGCGAAGCCGTGCTAAGTCCTGCTGAACCCTGCCGAACTCTGGTAAGCCATGGAAAGCCCTGGTACACCCTGCCAAGCCCTGGTAGGCCCTGCTAAGCCCTGCTAGGGCCTGCTTGGCAGGAGCAAACCCGTTCTTGGCAGGCCTTGGCTATGCCCCGGGTCCCCTCAGCCAGGTCGTCCAGTGCGGACATAACGCTCCAGGGTGCGGGGGCGTTATAATCAACCAACAACTGAAGGGGGTGGATTGCTGGATGAGGTTAGATGAGCATCTGGGCCTCCGAAGATACACATATACAACAACTGGCGTAAAGGGGTTCACTCCGCTTTGGAGCTCCCGAGCGGAGTCCCCCCCTAAAAATAGTGTTGGGGTGGGTGGGCTCACATTCAAATTCAACGCCTGGGAACTCAAATTCTGACTTTGCCCTGGTCCGAAATCCAGCTTACATCGGGCTAGTCCCGCTGCATCTCGCTTCATCTGGCTTAACCTGGCTTGATCCCGCTTCATCCGCGGCCTACTCCGGCGCAGTAGCCTCCAAATAGGGCTCAATGATCCTTGATCCTTGCGACGAAGACCTCTCACCAGTTGCCTCCTACCCACCGAGCCCCCGAAAACACATCACAATTGCAAGACCGATGTCACAGCGATGACAGGAAATCTGGGGCCTTGTGACCTGGGCAATCCAAACATGGCCCAGGCGGGCTTTGTAAGATCCTTCAAGATCCTGCAGGATCCTGGAAGATCCTGAACTGAAGGGGCCCCAGAACACACAAATAAATACACACACAAATAAACAGATTCCCAATATATTCCCATATTTTCTGGGTTTTTGTCTTCCCCCTCACTTCCCATATTTTCCTATATTTTCACATATTTTCTAGGGAATCGACCATTAATTGTGTCTGTGTGTTTTTCCCTCCTGAAGGATCCTGGACGATCCTGAACCTCAGCCCGGGCGAGCGACTGGCCCTGCAGGATCCTGCCGGGTCCGGCGCTCGCACTGACCCTCGCTCGCGCTGGCCCCCGTCCCTTGGGTCCCGAGGAGCTGGAGAGGGGGAGCTGGAGGCTTGGAAATGGGCACCAGCACCAACACGAGGGCCTGCCTCACCAGTGGGAAGGATAATCCTAAAGCTCGGTGTGGGTGGCAATACCTCGGCCACCTAGGACGCCGAAAGAAGACCACCATCACCGAGATCGGGAGCACCTTCCCACGGTGGAGGCACACCGCCGACATTGGTGCTCGTGTCAATCTCTGGGCCTCCCAGGGAGGGCCCAGAAGCGCAGCGGGAGGTGCTTGCTCGCCCCCCCCCCCGCAGCGATCGCCGAAGTACACCCGGTCGTCCGGCTCCCACAGCGGCCTCTGGCGGCGGCGCGCGCTCTGGAGGACAGAACCAGAGGAGCCACCCGCAGTGCATCGGCGGCGAGCCGGGGGGGGGAAGCGAGACGGCGAAGGCCTTCTCTGAAGGCTCGGAGGTCCACCGGCCTTCTGCGAAGTTTCCCGGGCCTTCCCCGAAGACGCGAAAAAAACTACGCAGAGGGCCGAAAGGCTTCTGAGAAGCCCCGCCTTCGTCTGAGAATGCCTTCTCCTTCTCCCGCCCCCCTTCGCCCGCCGCCGAGCAGGACACCCCTGCAAGCGAGGCCCGCCCAGAGTGTGAGCAGTCCAGGGTGCGTTCTGACCAGGACTCAAAAGCTAATCCAGCGGTGGCAACGAAGGCCTCCCAAGAGGCCCCAAAAAGAGAAACGGGCGAAGGGCAGCGGTCATCGGTACCTCTCCCTCCTCCGAGTTATCCGAGCGAAATCCGCTCTGCGATGCTGGCGCCATGACATCTACTCGGACTATATCTGGGATGGGACGCAGAAGGACGATCCGAACATATAGTTTACCAATATTGTAGTATATCGTTCCCCGATATGCTACAAGCGATATACGCACAACACGACGCACATACTGTAAGACTTCTCGGTGCGCGCGTCGCCCCCAGGGGGGCGACGCACGCATATAGAAGAAGAGCAGGCGCCATGAGCATACACCGTTTGGCGCTCCGCGCGGATTTCTGGGATCTGCGCTGGACCCCCTACCCGGCGCGCGGAGCGCGCCAGGGTCGGCTCAAGAGGCGCCGAGAGGGGGGCCAGCGCGGATCCAAGAAGCCCGCGAGGAGCGCCAAAAGTTTATGCTCGTGGCGTTGTCTCTTCGAGTGTTGGGGTGACGCCGATGACATCTACTCTTAGGTCTGGCATGTTCTCCTACAGGCGGAACTTGGAACAAAGGTGGAAGATAGCCAAACAATAACCTCCAACTATTCAGAAATGAATACTCCTCCTGTGGAGCCTGTGGAGGGACATGCCCGACTTACACCTGTTCGGACCACACCTGGGAGGCCCAGGAGACCCCTCCGGTGTGGGCGCCCGCGCTTTTGCGGAGGCCCAGCCGCGGCCTGGCGGCCGAGGGTCCAGCCCCCTGGGGAGGCGCACAAAAAACATACACGACACGATCTTTAGGTCGAGCATGCCCCCATGCAGGGGGATTTTGGACGAAAAATAAACAACAGTCCAAACATTACCTCATGAAGTAACAAAAATGCTCCAAACATAGTCCCGGGACTCGTTTTGGACTATTTTGGAATATACCTCCTGTAGAGGGACAGACCCGACTTAACACGTGCTCGATCGTGGACCCCTTGCGAATGTTAGAGGCCTCCTAGATGGGGTACGCGTAGATGGGGTGGAAGGGTCGCGACGCATCGCCAATGCGTCGCCGATGCATCGGCGATGCATCGGCGATGCATCGGAGATGCACCGGCGATGCATCGTCGACGTGGGCGCTGCATCGGCGACGTCGACGTGAAGCAAATCGGGCTCCACATCGTGCCGCATCGCCGATGCATCATTGATGCAGTGCGATCCTCCGACCCCATCTGCTCCGACCCCATCTGGGAGGCCTAAATATGTTGCATTCTCTGAGGACCTTGTCTGTCCCGTCGCGGCCTCATCCGCGCCGAATCCGTGTCGAACTCATGTCTGACTCGTCGGATCCGTGTCGCATCCGTGCCGAATCCGCATTCCAGCCGCGTCGGATCCGCGTCGCGTCCGCATCGAGCCCGCGCCGGGCACAAGACAGTAATTTTGGAGACGGGCGAGGTCCACCAAAGATGCAACGTAAGAAATACTTACTTTCAGCGATGGATCAACCAAAGCCTGCACAAGCATGAACTTTTGGCGCGCTCCGCGCGCCAGGGAGGGGGTCCAGCGCAGATCCCAGAAATCCGCGCGAAGCACCAAACATTTATGTTCATGGTGTTTTTCTTCTTCGAAAACATGTACTTTCAACATGGCGCGTTTTCTTCGAAAGAATGTACTTTCAACGACCGAACTGTTCTTCCGAAGCTCCGTGCAGACTCTGTGGGTCGGCGCCAGGCGCACCCCCTGGCGCCCCCGGGGCGCGCTGCGCCCGCCAGGGAGGAGGGGGGGCCAGCGGCCACCCAAGAAGTCCTCGCGGATCTCCGAAATGTTTATGCGCGTGCTCAGGGCGAGGATGAAGTCGGGTGAAATTGGATCGAGAATCCCTGAGATCTGGCGGATCTGGGAGATGTCTCGGGCGCCGCGGCATTCTCAGAGTGTTCCGCAAAGCTCTGAGATCGTTGAGGAACGCTCTGGAACGAATTTATCCTCGTCCTAGCCCCGCCCGATTGTGTAATCTTCGAGATACACGTCAGTCGGAAAAAGTAAGTAAAAACATTAAAAAAGAACGCGGATAGAGTAAATTGGGTTTGGGCCCTCCCAGATAGCAAGAGCACACTACAAATTCATGCCGATTCTTGGAGTAGGAAGGCGCTAGAAAAAATATGGATCTGGGAATCCGAAAACATTTACTTTCAACGACCAACGGAAATGTGCGTGCTCCTGTGCCTTCCTCAAGCTGGCGTCGCGAAAAAAAGGGAACATCGCCACGAATCACCACTGGAACCCTAAGGCCAAAGACCCCCTCCTTCTGCGACACGCTTCGAGCCGGATCGATCTCTGCCCCCGGGCCCGCAAGCCAGCGAGAACGCCCGCTTTGGAAAAAAATGCAGCGTCCGGAGCCGATGTCTTGAGTGGTTCCATCCGGGACCCAACGCTCGCCATCGCTCGGACGTCCATTCCCTGTGTTTTTTTCGGTTTCGGGCGTGGTTTTTTCGCCAAATGGTCAAGGATGTTCCTCGATGGCCCTCGCCGAAGGAAAACATGCACACGTCCGAGCGATGCCAGGAACGGGGGGGACCGATTTATCGTCTTGTTAGCCCCGTGGCTCGGCGAGGGCCACCGGGGGCCGAGAGCGACAACAAACCTCCGTTCGGATGTTCCGATGCGCGGAGAGATCTCAGTCGGCGGCCGCCCGACCTGTGCCGTCTGAGGGCGGTCTTCGGACCGCCCTCGGCGGTCTACTGGCGGTCCTCGGCGGCCTTCAGCGCGAGAGCCGGGTGGTGGCGTCCAACAAGGGGTCAATGGCGAAACACCGAAGTAACGAGCTGCAGGAGCATGGGGCTTTGGGAAAGACCTTGCGGATGGCAGAGGAGTCGGCGCTGGACGCGGAGGTCGACGGAAACCCAACCTAGGAGGCATCTTCTGGGAATCCTTCGCAAAAAGGACTACAAGACTACGAAGTCCGATTGCACTGTCAGTTGGCCGGATCAGGCCAGATTGCGCCCAAGATTTCGCCAACCAAGTGGCACTTGTGAAATTGCTCTTGCGCATACAGGCGGGGGGGGGGAGGTGGAGGACGTGCTCCGAGATGGCCTCCAAGATGGCTCAAGACGGCTGAATGTGGTCCCCTGTCATGCCTCCAAGGAGCCCCAAGAGGGCCACACGACGGCCCCGAGTGCTTTCGGAGCACCTTCGGGACTCTCTCCGAAGAGCCAACATTCTTTAAACACCACCAGAACACCAATCATAATCCTGCAAACATCTTCCCAAATTCTTCAAAATCCCCCAGACATTCAAATCAGCAAAAAGCCCTCAAAAGCCTTCAAAAACCAGGTAATTCCTTGCCACGTTTCCGCTTCCGATGGGCTCGTGAAGTCTCAAGGCCTGGCCGGCGGTGCTCGGGGCGCAGGGGGACGCGCTGGCCGGCGGGTGGGGAGGACTTCGGCTGGCTTTGGGGCGTGTGTGCCGCTATAAAATGGAAGGGTCTACAGTCGGCCCGTATCGTAAAGATTCGCGACAAGAGTGCAAGGGCATTGGGCGCCCACGTCGAAGCTCTTCGAAAGCAACGCGGCAAACGAACCTGGCCAAGGATAGACCGGGGAGGCAGGGATACAAGGGTACCTGTGGGAATGTCACCCATCCTTATTCTGCGGGTTGGCTGTCAAGGGCGTGCGCGCCGAAATGAATAGTCGTGGCGGGGGGGGCGCGCCGGAGGGCGGGCGAGGGAGCAGTGGGCGGGCGGGGTTGGAACAGAGGCGGTGCTGGTGCGCGCGTGCCGACGCAAACCTGTCGGGGCGGGGAGGGCGCGCGGGCCGGGGGGTGAGAAAAGGAGCTGGGCTGCCTGGGGGTGGGTGGGGGGCGGGCGCCGTGCGCCGTGCGCGCGTGCCGCAAGAAACGGGTCGGGCCGAAGGGGGCCGCGCGGGCTGGAGGGCGGCATGCGCACTTCGGCGGGCTCGGGCGGGGGCTCAAGGTGACGTTTCCTGCCGTGCGCGCCGCTATGAAGAAAAAAAAAAAAAAGGGCGTGCGTGCCGGAATGAGTGGTCGCGGCGGAGGGGCGCGCTGGATGGGGGGAGGCAAGGAGCTGGGCTGGTTTTTTGGGGGGAGGCGGTGCCAGTGCGAGGCGTGCGTGGCGCAAAGAAAAATGGTTCGGAGTGGAAGGGGCGCGCTGCGTGGGGGGAAAAAGGTAGCTGGGCTGACTGGGGTCGTGTTGGCGGTGCCGGTGCCGAGCGCGCGTGCCGAAACAACTGGTCGTGGCGGAGGGGGCGCGACGGACGGGGGGCGAGGACGGGCTTGGCTGGCTTGGGAGGAGGAGGCGGTGCCAGTGCCGTGCGTGCGTGCCGAAGTCAAATGGGTCGGAGCTCTAGGCGCCCCGTGCAAGGGAATTGCGGAGAATGAGACTGGGGAGACCCAGAGGTACTGATGCCGCTACACCCTGGGCCTTTCCCGGGGTGCGCTCTGAGTGGACATTCGATGCGGATCCGGCGGTGGCGACGAGGGCCTCCGAGGAGGCCCCAAAAGGGGAGAGCGAGGGAAGGGTAGAGGTATGTGTATATGTTCCTCCTGTGCGAGACGGGACTGTGCGGGATGAGGTCGGCTTTCCGCCCCGGAGCTTCTGCCGCCGACGCTGAGCGCAGCCTCCCGGGAAACATGCAATATGCTCACCCTGCCCGGGAAGGCCTGCTCCCGCGGGGTCGGCTC